GTGAAACTATTACTAGGTACGATGACGATGACATTTTGTTTATTATGAATCAAATAGTTTGCTTTCAGAAACGTGGTGAGAGAATAAAAATGTAAGCGATGATCTGAAGGATTAAGATTTATCCAATTTCAGAAAAATGCGTGCCATCACCGTATTTTAAAAAATAGCCCGTATTCTGTCTTTGGTCATCAAGCAAAAGTTGGTTGCGAAAATCTGTTTGCTTTATTTGAAAAGCAATTGCCTCCAAGATCTAGCAGACGATATCTGAAGTTTTGAACATCTAAGCGAGAGCCGCTCTAAAATAAGCGCGTTGCACTAATGATGTATGCGAGAAAAGCATATAGAGAAAGCTTAGTAGTGTAGACCATTTAAACTAAAGGTGTAACACTTCGCGATTATATTTCCAGCGCAGTTGCATGTGAAACTTCAGTTCTCAGTCTTTTATGTCAAGCTTTTCTGTTATAAAAACCATTCGGACTGTCTATTTGGCGTCCCTGCTTCCATGTTATCGACGTAAAAAGAAGCACCGGGTGGCTTCAACAGTGTAAATGTGTCGAGAAGTTGGTATGCAGCTTCCGCTGCTGTTTTCGATTTCAATGATCGTAGAATATAAAATTTCGTGAAATGATCTTGATAATTTAAAATGAATTTGAATTCACGATCAGGGCACGACTGCATGTCAATGAGATCGACCTGTCCGCGGGAATTGAAATCTTCAGAAATAATCGGACAAACCAGTTTCGATGAATTCTTCGGTTTACCTCTCTTTAATTTACATTCACCACAATTGTTTATGAATAGCAGAACTTGTTTCTCTGTAACGTTGGCCTATTTTTTGTTTAATTCAATACGAGTATTTTTTCAAACCACGATATCCAGTTGCTTCATGAGCTTCTTTAATAACTTCATATATCTCATCAATTGCAACATAATATTGTAAAATAAGTCCATTTGTTGATTGCAAAGTCTTCACCAATTTTTGCTTCGAACCAGAAGTGACAACGTCGTAGGTTCTCAATACTGCTATTTCATGTTGAGTACGATCACAAAATTGTTTCAACTTAGCCGAAGCAACTATTTCAATGGTTTCATCATACCGATCGACCGAAAACACTTTGTTGTTGCACGAATCGTTTTTCTGTGATAACAAAATTTTCGTAAAATCATTTTTCCATTTTGTGTTGTCTAGGCACAGAACATGATCGTTGTTGTTCATCTGCGGGCGTTGTTGTGGTTTCACAAGTTTGTGCTGATAATATTTTGGTTTTACGTTTTCGCTTTGTACGCTTTTTAATAATCATCGCCGCTGTTGAAGATGTAGCCGACATAACGTATTTTTAAAAATAATACGATGTGTTGAGAATTAGAATAAAAAGTATCGTGTTTTAATACAAAATGATGTCAATGGACTGGTCTACTATTGTGCATCACTTATTCAATATAGGAGGAAGACGGATAGAAACAGATATTTCGGTTCAAATGCAAAGTTCAACTTCGACAAAAATATTGTCGAAGTTGATGTACCTTTTAAACTTCGACAAAATAGTAACTTCGGTACGACATATATAATGAGATGAATTAAAGAAGAGAGAGAAGAGAAAAGGATGAGTAGGCAATGGGAAGAAGGGATTTCACAGTGTGAAAATTTGACAGTCAACGAAAGCACTCAGTCGAAGATAACCGATAGTTCATGAATGCGTATAGTGCTTTAAGTCGGCTTCTATCTTTGACTGGGTGCTCTCGTCTACTTATAGACACCAGTTAAGATCATTTTTGCGCACCAAGGACGAATTGTGGTCAAATTATCAAGTGACCGGATTCCCTTAAATGGTGGCCATACCATAGACCAGCTAACTGATTCTGCATGTAGCGAATGAGTCTTTAGGGGGTTATTAAATATTTAGTTTAATTGCATGTGCGCATGGTGAGCTTTTTTCTGTTATATAAAGTGCGATAACTTTGTTCGGTTTTTAGCAAGAAGTAAGCATAAGATATCTTTTGCTAATGAATTAAAACAAAAGCTGCGTTTACGCAAAAACGAACTATTTACTGGTTTCAAGCGGGCGCCTTTTATGTAATTTCTCCACCAGATAGTAGTTGCTGAGCTATAGTTTTTTTTCATATTCATCTATTTTTCGTAGTTCTGACTCATTGTCATGATCATAGGTTCTACATTGCTTTATGAGCTCGTGTTGTCCTTCGCTAGTGCGTGGCGCCCTAATCAACATTTCGGCGAAGAGCTGATGGAAAATGAATGTTTCATTCTCCTCATCCAAACTTTGAATTTATTCTTCGCCCTTATTTAATAAAAAAGTGTTGACTGACAGTAAAGTTCTTGAACGTACTCTGATAT